AAATGATAAATATAGATTTTTTTCCTCATTAAAAATATATTTAAAAGACAATTGAGTTTTTAAAGCAGAAATAATCATATATTTGGGGTTTATAACTTATGTAGAAGTAAAAGGCAGGACCAAATAGCACAGAGGATGGGAGGAAGAAATGCAAGCCCCTGGTGAGGTTCTTACTTTATACTAGAGGCATATTATTTGAATGTAAACCGTGATAAATTAAAGATATATATTATACACCTTGGACAAATCCACAGTTTTGTTGGTTAGGTCAACACTCCTTTCTCAGGAATTGAGAGAACAAATGGAAAGAAAATCAGTAAGGATATAGAAGATTCAAACAACACCATCAACCAACTTCACTTAATCGACATTTGTGTAACATTCCCCGCAACAAAAGCAGAATGTGCATCCTTTCAAGTGCACAGAGAATATTTAACAAGACAGACTCTATTTGGGACCATGAAACAAGTTTCATGAGATTTTAAAAAGGTAAAATCATAAAAGTGTGTTATCTAACTGCAATTAGAATTAAAGTCAAAGTCAAGAAGGGACAGCTGGGAAATCTCACCTATTTAAAAATTAAATGACACTCTTCTATGTAATCCATGGGTAAATGAAGATGTCATAAGGTAAATTAGAAAATAACTTGAACTGAATGAAAATGAATACATGTGTCAAAACATGTGGATATAGCTAAAACAGCATTTAAAGGAAAATTCACAGTATTCAATGCTTACGTGTTATAAACCAATAAAGGTCTAAAATCTGTGATCTAAGATTTGACCTTAACAAAAAGCGAGGAAAAAAAGAGCAAGTTAAACCCAAAGTAAGCTGAAGAAAGGAAATAACAAAGATAGGAGCAAAAATCAATGAAATTGAAAACAGAAAACCAACAGAGAAAACCAATCAAACCAAAAGTTGGTCCTTTGTAAAGATCAATAAAATGGATAAACCTGTAGCCAAACTGATTAAGAACAAAAGAGAAAAAACACAAATCACCAATATTAAGAATGAAAGAGAAGATATCACTAGAGATCGTACAGACAGCAAAAGGATAATAAGGGAATATTACAAACAACTTTATGCTGATAAATTCAACAACCTAGATGAAATGAATAAATTCTTTGAAAGTCACAAATGATCAAAGCTCATTCAAGAAGAAATTGATAGCCTGAATAGCCATATATGCCTATTAAAGAATTAAATTTGTGGTTACATCCTTCCCATACAAAACTCCAGGCCCAGTGGCTTTATGGGTAAATTCTGTCAAACATTTGAAGAAGATACTATATCAATTCTATACAAACTTTTCCAGAAAGTAGAACAGAAGTAGGGAAGACAGAATCCAAAAACAGATCCACACATATAGAGTGGATTGGTTTTCAGTGAAGGCTCCAAGGTAATTCAGTGGGGAAAGGAAAATCTCTTTCTAAATACGGTCCTAGGCCAGTTGGATAATCAAGAAAGAAAAAAAGAAAGCCTCGACTATTATCTCATGCCACAAGCAAAACTTCACTCAAAAGGGATAGATCTAAAAGTAAGAATTAAAACCATAATACTTCAAGAAGAAAACAGGAGAAAATCCTTGTGACCTTGGGTTAGGAACTAGTATTCTTAATTTACGAATGAGGACTCAGTCATTAAACAGGATAAGGAACTTGCTGAGGTCACATAACTAGTTAGGTAGCAGAACTAGTCTCCAAACCCTTAAATTCATACTCAGATTTGATGTAATAACTGGCAAGGGTTTGGGGCTTTGTGTGGAAGTGAATGAAAATGCGCACGACTGCTCCCTCCTTCTTCACATTCTGCTCTGGTCATAGAAGTATGCAAGCCCCCTCCCAGGGACACACGGCTTCACTTGCCCCGGATGTGAGCACTACTGTCCACCACCAAACAGACACTGCTTTCCACTGTCCTGGACCAAGTTGTTCAAACCAGGCCTGTGCTCATAGTGTTCTCCTCTCTGCAGGCCCACTTCCTGCTTATCCCTCAAGGATGCTACTACCTCCTTTAGGAAGCCCTCCCTGATGCACTCAGCCTGCAGGTCTCCCCTCCTCTGAGGTCCTCAGGACTTTCTTGGGGCTTTTGTTAGTCTTATCTCCCTTCCGGAAGGTGAGCACCTTGAGGGCAGGTCCCATGTCTTACTTGTCTTTGTATCCTCCTGCACAGCGCCTGCTCGGGGCCCGTCAGATGAATGAATGTATCTTGAGAAGCCATCACAAGTTAGGGTCTTTTGTCCTTGGATCTCCTTGGAAGGTCAGGCCCCCACTCCACCCTCAGAAATGTGGACCGGGCTCCCCACTCATCCTGGCCCTGGGAGTCCCTGTTCAGGGCCAGGCGGGCCACAGATACTGGGTCATCCCCTCTGTGCAAACCCCCACCTCCCCCGATTGCTGACGCTGCAGTCTGAGCTGAAGCCCTGCCCTCCCCCCATGGCAGGACCCCGTAGCACAAAAAGTACTTAGAATAGTTCACATGGGCCGAGGTGGTCAGCCACTGCCTCGCAGTTTCTAAGAACTTCTTTCTTTGCTCCTGGCCCCAGTACGGCCGGCTGCCGGAGCAAAGCAAAGATGCAAAGAGAAAACCCAAGGAAAACAGCTCTCGTAGGTTTCCCCAGGGGCGGTGAGCAGGAGGGAACCGTGGCCTGTACAAAGTCATCTAGTCCATCCCCTTGCATCTGGGGGCACTCTTGGTCTATTTTGGGTGGACAGTTATCTCTGGCATCCAGAAAGCGTTCCCTGGGTTACGTGTTTCCCATGCCTCAGAAAGGTGTTTTTGACAACCACCGTCCGTCCCTCCTGGCGGCTTGGGCTCCCCCCTCCCTGCGTCTGACCTGCGGCTGGGCATGAGAGGAGACAAGGGAAGGCAAAAGCCTGCATCCCAGCAGAGGGAATGAAGAGCACATGGTGTCAGGCCACTGGCTAGGCTTTGGAGCGGACACGCTGGGACAGAGTGGGGCTCAGCCTTCCTGGGGCTCCCTCCTTTCTTCTCACCCCCCAGGAACTCTGGAGTGTTTCCTGGGAGCCTGGGAGGTTCAGGGGCCTTGAGGACAGAGGAAGACAAGAGCTTCTGCGGGAGGTCACATAGAGCTCCTTCTCTGGAAAGGGAAGCATCCCATCCTGTGTGTGACACAGGGCAGTGGGGGCCGTGGAGGAGGGGAGAAGGGGCCCACAGAGCCCTGAATGAGAGCCAAATCCCCATGTGATGGTCTCTCTCGGCGCCTTCTGACAGGGGCCCCCAGATCACATCCTGGAGTAGGATTTTCCCCAGCCCAGACTCTTTCTGGCCCCGGGGAAGGACAGGCAAAGGCCCTGGCTCTGTGTTCCCCACACTCTAACACCCAGGAAAGCCTCTCGCTCTGTTGCTCACAGGCTTTTTGCCAGAGGTGTACGGGACACATGGGTGAGGAGTGAGGGAGGAGACTCTCCAACCCTTCTCTGATTTCCCGCCCTCAGAAGCCATGGCGCAAAACCCACCTGTCCTCCCCGAGGGAGCCTGGTATGAAGGCTCTGTGGTGGGAATCTTTCCTCCAACACACCAACCCCAAGTTAACTTGCAAATGACAGGCTTGTGTCAGCCTAATGTTTTAATGATGAAAAGTACAGAAAGCCCCCCTCCACACATGCCCTGGATGCCCTGGCCCTCAGGTCCTCTGACCTCCTCATTCCTCCCTCCTGTGCTCACAGCACGCCCAGCTCTTCCTGCTCTCCCTCCAGGAACCCGCTTCCCGAAAACAAGGATTTGGCCTCCCTCTTGCAGACAGGTTCTCTCTGGATCTCCTGATCTCCCGATCTCCCGGAAGAAGTGGAGAAGAAAGAAGCTCCCGTGGAGAGAGTGGAGGAGGTTCATGGTCATGTTCAGGGACTTGGCTTGGGGTGGAGAGGCTGAATGTCCTTCCCTCTTCTTTTTCTTCCCCAAAGGACTCCATGCCCTCCTGCTCCTCACTCCGGCCTTCCTGGGGCTCTGGGCATGACCAGTGTCCTCCATCCTTCAGGACCATCTCTCTGGGCCGGTGTGGGTGTCAAGAGAGAAGTTTCGGGGATCTGTCTTCATCCCATGGCTGTGGAGCCAGACAGGGCCATCCCGGGGTGAGGCGGGGCTAGGATCTAGATTCTGCAAGACACAGAGCACCGGGTATTCCAGCGGGTCCTGAAGGCACAGCTGCCGAGGGGCCACCCCTGTTCCGCGTTGCGGTCAGGCCCAGGGGCTCTCCCAGCAGGGGCCATGGGTTCAAATGCAGAGACACCGCGTGCTCTCTGAGCTTGGGCAAACTCCTCCCCTGGCAACCCCCCACCCAAACACTTTTTTGAAAACAGCCTTTTCAGGATGAGGTGTGTGCACGCGCTGGGACACTTGGCGAGCGGCTTCCCAAGGGCCTGGGCATAGGTGCCACAGAGAAAAAAGACGCTCTGGTTCAGTGCTGAGAGGGCCATTTTTGCACAAAGGTCATTTCTGAATAATTTTAAAATGTTTAGGGGTTACTCTGTTTTCTATTCAAAATATAAGATGTTTTAAGTACTCTTAAGGAAAAATGTTTTCTTATTAACATAGGTTATTTGCTTTACTGAAAAGGAGACTACCAGTAAGGAAATCAGCAAGGCTTTTGGGGCACTAAGTGTCTGTGTCTGGGCATATTTATGAAGGTATAACACAGAAGAGAGAAGAGGCCCCTTTATCTCTCGTCTTGAAATGTGTTGCAGGCCATCCTGGGGAGCTTAGTCGAGGGTGCATCGTCCCTTAAGCCAAGAGTTAGTCCTCAGTGATCTAGTTCAATACTGCATTTTGCAGATGGGTAAATCAAGGCCCCAGGAGGGCGAGTGACGGCCCAGCTGAAGTCACAGAGTTCCTGTGGAGCCACGGCGGTTAGAGGACTCTGGTATCCTGACCTCCAGCCCAAGCACTCCTGAGGGCACAGGGAAGGCTCCCTGAAGGCAGGCAGGTGGCTGCCCCTCTGATTCTCCTTCCCGTCCCCCCCTTTGCCAGGGCAGCACCTTTACCTGTGACAATGAGGCTGGCGGTGCTGATGGCCTGGCCCAGCGCGTTCTCCGCCACAGCCTTGTACCGGCCGCTGTCCTTGGGGGAGACGCTGGGGATGATGAGGGAGCACACGCCCAGCACGTCGGTGCTATACACTGCGGGGTTTCCCGCCAGGCTCTGGTCGTCCTTGAACCAGGTGACATGGGGCCGTGGCCAGCCGTGCACAGCACAGCTCATGCAGCACTCACAGCCCTGCGGCAGCAGGTGGGTCCGCAGGCCCACCAGGAACCGGGGCTTCTGGCTCAGGTTAGGCTCCCGGTAGCTTGGACGCCTCACTGGGAACCTGTCTGTGGCAAACACCGGGGCGAGAGAGAGAAGGGTCAGTAAGCAAGGAAGGGAGGGCCGAGGCATGAGTCGGGGTAGCAAGCTCCTGGTGGAACGTAGGCACATTCCGGGTCCTTCCGCCACAATTTACCTGTCAATTTGGCCCTCACAGCTTGACTCACCTTTTTATCCTGTTCTTAAAATACATTTTGGATTTTATTTTTTATTTATTCTTTTATTATAAGCTAACACCCATTCACCGTGGACAAACTAGAACGTGTAAGAAAGTCAAAAGGGGAAGGAATAAAAACCGAGCATAATCTCACTGCCTATCAATGGCCAGAGCTAACATTTTGGTGTGGAACCTTCCAGACATTTTTGTGTTTTAGAAATATGGAATCACGCATTCAATTTTATAATCTGCTTTTTCTAGTGATTACTTTGAAGGTCCACCATCTATTTGACTGTAAAATATGCTTGGTTTTCAGAGAAACATTAACCTCTCTTTGCCGTAGGCCTGCTGCTTATTTGAGACCCCACCCAAAGGCATCCTGGACATGCAGACACCCACAGCCCTCTGCTCTCTCCGGACCCACCCTGAGACAGGGACACAGAGGACAGCAGTGCAAGTGGGTTGAGCCAGCTGGGGAGGTGGGGGAGGTAGGGGAGGTGGGGAGGTGGGCAGGGTAACAGCTCCTGGTCCAGCTGTGGTGGGGCCAGCAACACATTGAGCCGCACTCGGCCACCTCTGCTGGGGCTGCCTGGGATGCAGCCCGCATCCCCAAGAGCTCACCTCGCTGCCGGGGGATGCACCAGGGCTGGCTGGTATCTGAGGGCAGGCTGGCCCCCAGCTCGTTCTTGGCCACTACCCGGAAGTGGTACTCGTGGCCAGGGAGCACTCCCAGGAGGGTGAAGTGGTTGGTGTGCATGCGGTCAGCCGCCTGGCACCAGGGCCCGTGCGCTGAGGAGCGCGTCAGCACCTCGTAGTACAGGGGGACATCCCCAGTCTCGTCCGGAGAAGGCTCCCACTCGGCCGTCACTGTCCCGGGCACGTTCTCCTGCAGGTGGATGGGCCCGGGCGCCTTCGGGCATGCTGCACGAGAGAGCAAAGGCAGCTGAGTTTGGGGGGGAACCCGGCAGGGCACCCCAGAATGCCCACAGGCTTCTGCATGCCCTCCCCCAGGTCCCCAAGTCTTCTGGGGTCCTGGGGAGTGCAGTCTGCCCATGCAGGCAGCTGGAGCCCCCCAGAGAGAGCTCAGCTGGGGGTCTACAGTTATCTCTAGAGGGTGGAAAGCCTCTCCAATGAGAATCATTTGAATTCACCCTGGCTTGTAAGTAAAATGACACAGGACGTGGACAGTGGAGGGGTTTTCACAAGACCAAGTTGCAGAACCCCCATTGTTAGCTGTTGGTCATTTCTGTATTCCAGAAGCTCCTCCAGGGTGGGCAGGGGCTGTGTGGGAGTCCCAGTGGGGAGGGCAACATTTATCTTGTACAAGGACCACAGATAATCCTTCCAAGGCTCTTTCAAGTGAGGTAATGGTGGTGACTGTCTTTGTTCACTGGCCGTCACAGACCGGGGAAAGGCTGTGACTTAACTGTCCCTAAGTTCCTGGGGCAGAAGGATAGTGGACCCCCATGCCCTGCGCCACCCCAGACTCTCCCTCTGCCTTTCCTCCTTTCTTTCCTCCAGCTCTTAGGAAGGGCTGGTGGTGTGGTCACCTTGTATACCCAGGCTTGGGAGAGTAGCTGAGACCCGTGACCAGGCCAGATGGAGCGCTCCATGCCTTGGCTTGTGGCAAGCTGGTGTCGGGAGCCCCTGCCCAGGCCGGCCTCACCTGCCACCCTGAGGGAGAAGCGGTAAGCAGCCTCCCCGCCCTGCAGGTTCCTCAGCACCACAGTGTAGAGGCCACTGTCTGAGAAGCTGGCCACGGGAATCAGAAGCTGGGTGAGGCCATCCTTGGTGGAGGTCACATTACTTTTAAGCAAGGGCAAGCCGTCCTTCAGCCAGGTCACCTCAGGCATGGGGACAGCCTGGGAAATGAGAGGAAAGAAAGACAAGGAGGGGACATTTTGGGGGAGTGATGGCATTGAAGCTGGGCCCAAGGTGTAAGTGGGAAGAGGAGCATTCCCAGAGAAGAAATGTCTGAGCAAAAGCACGGAGTGGGGAGGTGCCTACTTAGGGAGAGGCTGCTTAAGAGGGGGTGATCCAGGGAGGTATGGGAGGGGGTGTGGGGTAACGAGGAAGCAGGAAAGGGGGAGTAAGGCAAACCCCCGAGTCCCCATGAGATTCTCTGGCACTGGTCACACTGGGCATCAGAGTCAAAGGGGGATGCCGACTGTAACTTGCCTCACAGGATTGTTCTGAGCACTGAAGGAGTTAATAATACATGGAAAGCATAGAGAACAGGGCCGAGGAACACTCAGTGTGTGTTAAAAATTCTTGTCACCATCATTGTCCTTATTATGGTCTAATAATTAAGAACATGTAATTTAGAGTTATATCTGGGTTTGAATCAGGTTCGGCCACCTATGAGTTCCCAAACCGATGATGATGATGATGATGATGATGATTTTAATAATAATAACAACAACAATTAGTAATAACACAAACTGGGTGCTTGACATATGCCAGGCACTACTTATGTGCTTTCAATGTGTTAATTCCTTGAATCCTCAGAAGAATCCTTGGAGATAAATTACTATCATCCCCACTTGACAGATGAGGAAGTTGGAACACAGAGAGGTTAAAATATTTGTCGGAGGTCAAACAGCTAGTGAGTAATGATGCTAGAATCTGACCCCACGCGAACTGTGCTTCCAGCCCCCACACTGTATGGTTATCCTATCTCTACAGGACAGGTGGTGTTGGTGGGGGATCATCCTGAGTCAAACGCAGTTCATGTGCTTGTACAATACTCAAACTCAGACTCAGGTCATTCTAAAGTCAAAAGGGACTATCCATGCTGCAGCCACACTGCATTCCCAGATTAAGTAAGGAGGGAGGTGGAGGAAAGTGGGCCTCATAGTTTAGAGGTGCAGTAACAGGAGCTACCACTAGAGGGACTTATAGACAAGTGCCCAATGGCCCGTGGCCAGGTGAGGCTCGTGCCTTCAGGGAGGACCCTCTTCCTCACTTCTGGCCTGATTTCCAGCACAAGCCGGGGCCACTGGCTGGGGACCAAAAAGGAGGGAGGTGAAAGAGAAGCACAGGGTGGAGTCTGGCTCCCTTGGCCACTCTGGGCTCCCCTCCCCATCCCCTATTAGATATACTCACTTTAAAGGAGACAGGCACACGAATGGTGTCCCCAGCTCGGACCATCAGCGAGTCCCTTGTGCTGGAGTCCATGAGGAACTTGGGATGGACTGGAACACACAAGATGGCTTGTCACCTCCCTCCACTCTTGGGACCAGTCCCAGGTCTCCAACAAGGCAGAGCTGGAGGGGGATGCCTGGGCCAGATTAATTGATGCAGAGATCCATGGTGGGGGTCGGGGAGGGGCTCTGAAGGAAATGTAGAGGGAGCTGGGAGGAGAATCCTGGGGGAGGGGCAGGGAGCTGCAGGAGCTGGTGGGGAGATGCTAGCCGGGATGGAATAGGAGCTGAGAAAGGAAACCCATCAGGGAGTGGGTTAGGCCAGAACAGAGGACAGGGAAAAAGTCATACAACTCTTGTTTTGCAGACAAGATAAACACTGATCTGAGGCAGGAAGTGACAGGCTTGAGATCACATCCAGTTGGGGGCAGAGCCAGGACAAGTTTCCAGGATTCTGGACTCCAGGTGCAGTGTGCTGTTCATTGTACTTGTCTCCCTACTTGTTACTGTGACAACTAGGGCTTGTTGGGATGGCCCAGGTCAGAAGCTTCCAGCGATTATAACCAAGGGAAAAGACAATCCACTTTTGGATAATAGGGAGCTGGGTGTCTTCTCCTCTGCGCATGAACCGCGTGTGCCAAGCAGCACTTATACCATCTTAGGTCATGCTCAGGAAGCAGCAAAGAATCCTGGAGAGAGCCTGGACTCTGGAGTCAGAGTCACCTGGTTTAAATCCTGGCTCTGCCACATACCAGTGGTGTGACCCAGGGCAAAGCACCTTTGACCTCAGGTTCTTTATCTGTAAATTGGGGGTAAAAACATTAACCTTGTAGGATTTCTATGAGTTGTAATGAGAAAACATTTCCAAACGGGCCTGCCTAGTCCAGTGCCTGGCTCATAACAGGTGCTTGATAAAGGGCACTTTATTAAACTGGGGAAGGGGATCTTGGCTCAGCAAGTGCATGGTTGCTGCTCAGAGGTCCCTCTCAGGAAGGGCCTGCAGGAAGGGGAAGGTGATGGGATTCACTTGCAACCGGCATGACTTGCACTAACGTGTCCAGGGCGGTGGGCTGGCCAAGGCCCCCGTCGTTAACTGCTGTCACCCTCACGAAGTAGCTCTCTTGGGGCCGAAGCCCTTTGGCTGTGAAGCTGGTGACTGGTACGATGCCCTTGTGGCAGGGAATCCACTGCAGACTGTCTGAGCCACGTAGCTCCACCACGTATCCTTGGGCTGTGTCCCCATCCTGTGCATCCGGCTGTTCCCAGCTCAAGGTGATGCTGGTGTGCGACGTGTCTATGACTTGGAGGTCCCGCACGGGCCCAGGGGGTCCTGGCCAGTCCCCGTGGGAAGGTCAGGAATGGCATCACCCTCTCTTGAGGGACGCCACTCCGTGTGGATATTCATTAGTCTTCCTGTGGGAGGCTGGGAATTTCTTCACCCACCTGTCAACCCACTTCCCCGAACTACCCTGCTGTAATTCCTGAAATCTGGCCATCTTAGTTGGTGACTTCCTGGGCTTCAAATGCCCGAAGACTAGAATTCTATATCTTTTGATTCTGAGCTCTAAGTTAGTCAAGACTGCCTTTTGGGCACTTAGCCCATACTTATTCTTCACCTGTTAAGTGGGAAGGAAAATAACTTTTTTAATAACTAAAAAGCCCTACCCACCCACAGGGGTTCTGGAGCAAAGGTGTGATGTGTGTGAAGGGTTTTGTACATTGCAGAGCAGTCTCCCAAAGCTGGATGCACAGTGGAATCTTGTGGGGAGCCTTAAAGACACTGGTTCCTAGATCCCATCCCCAGAGATGTGGATTTCATTAGTCTGGGGTACAGCCCAGGCAGCAGGAGTCTTAAGAGCTGCCTGGGTGTTTCTTAATCGGGGCTAGGATAGTGTTTCTCAAACTTAAATTTGTTTATAAACCACCGGGGGATTTGGTTAAGACTTCAGATCCTAATACAGAAGGGCCTGGGTGAGGTCTGAGATTCTGCATTCCTAACAAGCCCCCAGGTAATGCTGCCAGTCCGAGGATCATGCTCAGTAGCGAGGGCCTAGGAACGGTCATGACTGGGGCGGCTATTGTAGGACACCCATTATGCTACTTGCTGTCTCCACTCTCTATCAGTGATGAGAGAGAGAGAGATTGATAAACTAGGATGGGGTTGGTCCACTTGCAAGGAATAAAATGCATGTGTCACCTTTCCTCTCCCCGTTGCACACTCTGCCCTTTCTAGGACTAACCCTTAGGTGCCACTCGATCCGTTAAACTTGTACAGTGTTCTGTTTTCGCTAGATTCAGTCCAACAGCCCAGACCCATACACTGCACCAGGCCCTGTAGGGATACAAAGGTGCTCTCAAGGTGACCACATGGCCAGTCCAGCAAGTGCCAGAAATGTGCTGCTCCCTTGGTGGCTTGTCACTAGCAGGCTCATAAGGGCTCATGAGATAAGACACTCATAAGGGGCATACAGAGGAGCATTTTCTAAACCGTATGCCTTGGAATGAGGTTTTTGATGGCTGTTTTGTGGAAAAGGCATTCTCTACCCAAATTTGGGAAATTTGGCTCCAGGTAGGACAGGTCCCTTTCCTGTAGGACTTGGAAATCTCATAGGCTAGGTGTTAGAAACATCTTTGATCACAGATCTTTTTGGCTGTTTGTGTTGTTTTCAACATGTCCACTGACATCTTTCTGTGTGCCTGGATGTCTGAAATCACAGAGAGGGAAATGCTGTTCTACACCAGAAGCAGAGGCCAGGATTTATTTACCTAGTTCCTGGCACAATGTTAGCCATTGTGATGAAGATGATCAGCAAAGATCTGCTGGATAGTCAATGGTGAGGTTCCACGGCGACCTCCCACCTGCCCCATGGCAATGACAAGCCCTCACTGGGGTGGGTGGATGGTTGTAGGATGGGATCAGGTGGGCCAGCTCAAGGACTGACCTACCCAAAGGCTGAAGAGTGAGTAAAGTGACCCCACTGCCTGACCTCTAGGCCTGTTTGATCTCAATTCCCCGGGCCCCTAAAATATGCCTTACCCCAGAGGCCCTTCGGCCTGTGTCTTCCAGCCTTCCTGACCACGTCCTTCAGGACTGGCCCTGACCTTCCTACAGCCCCTGTCCTGTCCCACGGGCTCCAGAGCTATCCCCTGCTCATCACCACCACCACCCCCAACCTGGGTTGGTGCTCTACTTACTCTTGGGGTCCCGAGCAAAGACAGCATCCGATGGGGGCCCAGGCTCTCCGGGACCAGAGGGAGACACAGCCGTGACCCGAAATTCATACGGACAGCCCTGCCGCACATCCGTCACGGTCCACCTCCTCTCTGTGAAAAGCCCACCCCACGCTTGTCCCCCTGTGACAGGACCAGGCAATGGGCACACAGATGGCCTGGTGCCTCCAAGCTCTGGAAAAGACCAAGCCTAGGGCACTAAAACATTCCTTCTCTCCAGCCAGCCAGCTAGGGGTGACTCGGGTGTCTCCAAAGTAAAAACAGCACTGCTCAGGGTATGAGAGGCCCCAGCTCCTGTCTGGTTCTGCCACTAACTTGCTGGGTGGTCTTGGACAAGTGCCTTAATCTCTCTGGTTCTCTCTGCCTTAAAGACTTCTAAATGTTGCTATAAATTTATATAGATTTATAAATAAAACAGAATGACTAGACAGTGAAGTTGGAAGAAGGCCCTTAGTTCACCACCCTCTTTCCAGAGACGAGGATCCCGAGGTCCTGAGTGGCACAGCCCTGGCTAGGAACCCGGTCTCCTGACAACCTGCTCGGGGCTTGGAACCTGTTCTTTCTTCTGCAAATGTTGGATTGGAGTTTCTGAGTTCTTTCTGATTTTGGAAAGCAGTTTCCTGGAAATTGTAGGGAAGTTAGTAGGACAGGGGACATGTCTCCTCATCTCATGGATGAGAAAGGTAAGATCCAGAGAAAAGAATGCACTGCCTGAAGTCAAGGCCAGAAGTCAGGGCTAACTGCTCCATCTCTGGCTTCCATCCCGAGACTTCTGTTAAACCAGGGTTTCCTAACCTTGGCACTACTGGCATTTATGGCCTGATCATTCCTTGTTTGGGGACATGGGGATGGGACAGGAGTGTGGCCCTGTGAATTACAGGATGTTTAGCAGCTTTTTCACACTAGATGCTACTCCCCACCTTCCTGCACTTCAGTTATGACAACCAAAAATTGCCAAATGTCCCCCAGGGGGTGAAACTGCCCCACGTGAGACCCACTGTACTAAAGGGATCTGGCAAGATGGTGCCACAGGACCCTGGAGCCAGGAGGTCCTCTAGGGAAGCTTTGGAGGCCAGGATAATGTGGAGCATCCATTCAGGCGCACTCACCAGGCACAGGCTGGGCATTCACTGCTGTCCAGATGTTGCTCCCCTTTTTGCACTTCTCGATCAGGTAGCCCAGGATGTGGGCACTGCCAGGGCCCCGAGGTGCCGTCCACGTCAGCGTGATGCCCTGGCTGGAGGCCGACTGGATGGCTGGGCCTGAAGGGGCCCCAGGGAGAGCTGGGGGGCAGAGAAGGTGCAGGTCAGCCAGAGGCCAAGGAAAGATGCCAGCTCACAGCAAGGTCCTGGGGGAGGGGGAGTGGGGCATCTGGGGTGGGTCACACTCTATTCTTTCCTAGGGAATGTCAGGGGGGGCTGAGCCAGCCTGCCCTAGGACACTGTTCTGGCTCTGGCCTAGGAGCCTAGAGGCAGCCCTTAGGCCCCTCAGCCTTCAGTCCCCTGATAGATTGCTCCAGAGGGAGGGCATCTGATGGAGGGTGGTACCTGCCCTACCCAGCTTCCTGAGAAAGTGGGCTCTGCTTGTCTACCCCTACTCCCAGAGAGCCACTGCTGAGAGAAGACCCCACAAACCTTGTTTCCTGATTGCCTGAGAAATCCCAAATGAAGCTGACGTAAGGAGTCTCCACAGTGCTCTACAAGGGCCCCAAGACACCCCCCCCCACGTCCCTCAGTGCCTGGGGCAGCCCCGCCCACCCCCTGGGCACGGTGGAGAGCCCAGAATGCTAGGGCCCGTCCATCCTCTTACCCTCAGGAGCCACCAGCACCTCTGTGGACTCCAGGGCCTCCCCCGCCCCCTCAGAGGTCACAGCCCACACTCTGAAGGTGTATTTCCTGCCCTGCTCCACGTGGGCATTGGTGAAGGCCATGATGTCTGAGGGGGGCTCGCCCGCCTTCAGCCAAGTGCTCCGGCCAGCTTGCCGCCGCTCCACCACGTAGTGCTCCACGGCCCGGCCCCCGCTGTCGTTTGGGGGCCGCCAGTGGAGGCAGACCCCAGCCCCCTGGAGATCCTGTACCTCCAGGGGACCTTGTCGGGGCTGGGGCTTGTCTGGGGTCCCACCGAGAGGAGCAGGAAGAGAAGGGGGGGTCAAAGGAGATGGAGGGGAGTGGTGCTAGGCTTCCCCCCTCATCAGCGGATAAGCCTGCCATGGGGGAGAATATCCAGAGAGCCTTGGACATTACCTGGAAGTGTCCCTGGTCTCCACCCCCCAACACACACTACACCCCACAGAGGTGACCCAGAATGCACCACTGTGGCTGGTACAGGCAGTCCTAACTTGCTGGCACCGCTCAAGGCTGGGGGCCACCATCCCATCCCAGAAATGCCCCCCCCCCCCCCCCGGGCCCAGTGCCTTAGCTCCCAGAGAAGCACCACCAGCGGGAGCCCAGCCCTGTCTTTATCTAAACTGCTGCTTCCTAACCAGTCTGAGGAGGGGAGCACGAACAAGGTGAAGTAGGTTTGGATCTTAAACAGCATGCAAATGAGGATCAGAGCAGGGCAGCACACTCTGGGCCTGCTCCTGCCGGCAGGGAGATCCCAGAACCCTGGGACCCTTGGGCCTTGGCTGGGGAGAAGGCTGGGACTGGCACCTTTAACTTGCAGGGTGAGCTCAGCCTGCACAGAGCCGCCCTCGCTCCTCAGTGTCACGTTGTCCCGGTCACCATCCTTCCTGCCAGCGCTAGGGAGGCACAGCCGAGTGAAGCCGTCCCCCAGGGCCACCTGCGCCCCCAGGGCCACCTGCGCCCCCGGGGGGCTGCTGCCGCCCACCACTTCAGCCCCGTCCTTTTTCCAGGCAGCCTGAACTGGGAGGTGGCTCTGGAAGGGGATCTTCACTGTCACCGGCTTCCCAGCCTTGACCACCAGCGGCTCTCTCAGTTTCTCTGTGACATTGGGGCGATCTAGAGATATAACAGGGCCAGGGAGTCAAAGGCAGCCAGGGCACTGTGCACCGGGGCAGTGGGGAAAGAGGGACCCGGAGAAGGAAGTGCAGGCTGAGAGTAAAGAGAACTACTAAGGGGGTGAATGGGCTTCATCTGCAGCAGGAGGGACCAGGACTAGACCTCCCCAAGGACTTCCTGACAAAGAACAGGGAGGATGTGGTCGGCTTTTTAAAATCACCTTCTCAGACTGAGGATGAGATTAGGCACTGGCTGCAGACTAGCCACACAGTCAGGGGTTTAGAGGTGGAGCATAGCACCTGCTGCAGGGAGCCTGCTGAGCAGGGAAGGGCGGGCTGACCCTCACTGTAGACACTCAGGGTGGCCTCGCTCCGCTGGTTGCCAGCCACAAAGGTGTACCTCCCAGCCTGGGTCCCTTGCACATGGGCAATGAGGAGCCTGTGCACGAGACTGTCTTGCTCAAAGATGACTCCATCTTGGGCGCTGAGCTGCAAACAAGGGCCACGGAGGAACCCTGTCATCCCCACCCCTGCCCAGCTCCTCCAGGTGGTTGGGGGGGGCAGGGGGGGGAAGCAAGGCCCCTTACTAATGCAATGTAGGAATTGTAATAAGAGCAGTGTCAATGGAATGCTTGTGATGCACCAGGCGTGTACTAGTGCTCTCCATACTCAGTACCTCATTTAATGTTGCAACGACCTTATGAAGTCAGTACTGCTATTGGCCCCATTTTATAGATGCAACCAGAGGTAAGTGGCAGAGCTGGGATCTGAAGCCAGGCTAGCTGACGCCAAGGCCCGTGCTCTGAACCCGTGACGTCCATTCTCCTGGGAGGACAGCCCTGGTGGAGGACAGAAGGGCTGTTCAGAGAGAGGAGAGGTCCCGTCTGGTTGGGCTGAGGTGGCGTTTGTACCATGCCTTGAAGGACAGTAGAATTCAACAGGTGCTGGGACAGGACAGGCATTTTGGATGAGGAAGAGGCATTTGGGAGAGGAAGGGGTATGTCCGGGGGCGGAGCAAAGAGGATATACACCTACCTAAAAACCCAGTTTTATTTTAAACATACCAACATGCTGGCTATTTAGACTTCTCCCAGGGTAGGTGCTTTAGTAAAATGAAGAATAAAAAATCTTGGGGCGTCTGGGTGGCTCAGTCGGTTAAGCATCTGCCTTTGGCTCAGGTCATGATCCCAGGGTCCTGGGATCGAACATGACATCGGGCTCCCTGCTCAGTAGGGAGTCTGCTTCTCCCTCCACCCCTCCCCCTGCCCCGGCTTGTGCTCTCTCTCAAATAAAATCTTAAAAAAAGAATGAAAAATCTTTCTTGCAAAGCGCCTACCTTCTACTCTTCATTGCTTCACCCCCCCATCCACATCCCTCCCCCTACCCATAAACTGGTCAGTAAAGCATGGGGGGCAGTACCTTGACTCCATCTTTAAACCAGGCACCCGGGCCCAGGTCGTGGGTGAGGGTACAGGAGAGCATGGCATCCTCTCCCTGCTGCACTTCCGTGTTAGCCAGGCCCTGGGAGAAGTGGCCCTGGGGGCCTGGAGAGACACAGAGGGGTCTGGGGGCTGGATTTCCCCCAAGGCCCAGCCTCCCAGATCGTGGCCTACACTGAGCTCTGGGAGGCCACCATGCCCCACTAACTGGGCTGAGCCCGTGCCAGCAAAACCAAACTGGTTTTGCTAGGCTGGTATAGGGGACCTGGGGTACAAGGTGGATGAAGGGCCCCCCTTGAGTGACACAGATGGGAAGTCTGAGTAACCCACAGAGAGATTTCAACAGCTCCAGTTCTTTGGACATAGGGTGTTAAGACAGAGACCCAGAGACCTCTGAGCCCCATGTGGCCTGGAGCCCACCTCCACAAGGAGGAAGAGGTTGATTTCTGGATGGGAAGAGATCCCTGAAAATGGGGGGCACTGGCAGGGACAAACTCCTGGGGCTAGAGGCAGAATTGAGACCCACCCAGTCATCCCCGTCCCCCTTGGCTCTACCCCACTGGAGCCATTTCCCTGAGAAATACCTACCTTGGGCCTCCTTGGAGAAACCACCAGTGCCAGGCTTGTATCTGGATCTGGGACTCTGGGTGGCATCCCTCCCCTGGCCATAGATGTCTGACTTGCCCTCCAGGCCACCTCTCCAGCTGCCAAGATGACTTGGGGGCTCCCAGCTCTGGTCTTCGTGCAGAGTCACCCCTTGGCTCTCTCTGTCCTCTCCTCCCAGTGGCTGCCCCGAGCCTCTGGCCTCATCTGCTCCCCTCTTTGCTGTTCCAGGCTCCACCCCTGACGGTCTTTGAGACCTGCTCCTGAGCTGGCCAGGCCTTCTGTCTGACCCTCCAGATTCTTCTGCTCCCCATCCCTCATACTCCTTTAGGGCCCCTGGACCTTGGGCTTTGTCATTCTCAGCCCCCAGGGACCCCTGATACCCCAGGGACCCTCTTTCTCTTCTTTGTCCTTTGTCTAGCTGAAAGCCCAGGCCCTGGATGCCCCCAGATCTGTGCATAGAGTCTTTTCTGCCCAACGGACCATCTAGACCATTCCAGGCTCCCTGAGGCCCTAAATCCCCACGTTTTTGGGTGAGGCCATTCTCCCTGTCAGTGGAATTCCCCTTATTCAAGATGCCTGAGTCCCCCGAGCCAGTAGACTTGCCCCTTCCAGGACCTGAAACTTTGCTATCCAAGAACCATGGGTTTTGACACCCACCAGACCCTTCTTGGCCTAGAGCACCCTTCCTGCCCCTGAAGCCCTCTGGCCCTTCATGGGTCCCCCCGAAAGTGGCATCTTTGTCTTGCAGAGATCTGGAAGCTCTGGAGTCTGGGGCCTGATTCCCAGCACCTATGCTGCCTTGGCCAAACCCCTGGTCTTCCCTGCCTGGGACCCCAGTGTAGCTTACCTCTTGTCCATCAGCAGAACCTGACATTGATTTACCCCTTTCCCCAGGCATCCAGCTGTTGTCCAGAACCTGGCCTGTGCCCACTGAGTGCCCGCATGTTGCTCCCATCCTTCTGCCTCCCAGCGGTGAGTCCCCACCTGCCTGAGGTGCCAGTCCCCCCAGGCCAGCTGCTCTACTCCTATCTGCTGTCCCTGGCCCTGCTTTCCAGAAGTCCTGCTCGCGTCCAGATCCCAGAGCAGCTGCCCCTGCCCAGGTCTCGCCCTCCACTGCCCCCCGACCATCAAGAAATCCAGAAGCCCTCATACCCCCTGCTTGGTCTGCAGACCTGCCCTCCCTACTGGGAGCCTCTCTGTCCCCAGGAGATCCTGGCTTCCCAGCAGCATCTTGCCACTCGCTGACACCTGGTTTTCCCATAGAGCCAAAGGCTCCCAGCCCCTCAGGAACCCCTGAGGTTCCAGAGCCCCCAAGATCATTCTTGGAGCCTTGCCCGTCTGAAAGAATCCGTGGCTCACCTCGAATCCCCTGCATCTCTGGGTCCCAGGGGCCGTCCCTGCATGCTGTGCCATCAGCAGGGCCTGGCATTCCGGCCATCCTAAAACCCACTCCAGGACATGCTCCTTTCACAAACCCTATTCCTCTGCCCGTCTCTGAACCATGCTTGGAGCTTGTGCCACCATCAGACCTCTCTGATGCTGTCCAGTATCTTGACCCATGCTCTACGGCTTCTTGGCTGCTGGGTCCACCTTCATATCCCACTCCAGGCTGTGTGTCTGTTACTCTGAACTTCCCTGAACCATCTCTGTAGCCCACCTCACCTTCTGACCCCATTTCTCCAGATCCTCCTGAGCCTCCCCTATAATCAGACTCACTTCCTGACCTCAGTCCCCTAGCATCCCCCAAACCATCCCCATAACCTGCCTCTCCCCCTGACCCAATTCTCCCAGAACCCCCCAAACCATCCTTATAACCTGCTTCACCCCCTGACCCAAGTCTCCCAGGACCTCCTAAACCATCCCTATAACCTGCCCCACTGGCCCCATCCCTATAACCTGCATCCCCTGACCCCATTTTCCCAGAACATCCCAAGCCATCCCCATAACCCGCCTTACTCCCCATCCCCATTCTCCCAGAACCCCCCAAACCATCCTTATAACCTGCCTCACCCCCTGACCCAATTCTCCCAGAATGCCCCAGGCCATCCCCATAACCTGCCTCACCCTCTGATCCCCTTCTCCCAGAACCCCCTAAACCATCCTTATAACCTGCCCCACCCCCCATCCCCATTCTCCCAGAACCCTCCAAGCCATCCCCATAACCTGCTTCACCTCCTGCTCCTATTCTCTCGGAACCCCCCAAACCATCCTTATAACCTGCCTCACCCCTTGATCCAATTCTCCCAGAATCTACCGAGCCATCCCCATAACCTGCCTCACTCCCCATCCCCATTCTCCCAGAACCCCCCAAACCATCCTTATAACCTACTTCACCACCTGACCCAATTCTCCCAGGACCTCCTAAGCCATCCCTATAACCTGGCCCACCCTCTGACCCCATTTTCCTGGAACCTCCCAAGCCATCCCCATAACCTGCCTCACCCCCCATCCCCATTCTCCCAGATTCCCCCAAGCCATCCCCGTAACCTGAGTCACCCTTTGATCCAGTTCTCCCAGAACCCCCCAAGCCATCCCCATAATCTGTTTCACCATCTGCTCCCATTCTCTCGGAACCCCCCAAACCATCCTTATAACTTGTGTCACCCCTTGACCCAATTCTCCCAGGACCTCCTAAGCCATCCCTATAACCTGCCCCACCCCCTGACCCCACTTTCCCAGAACCTCCTAAGCCATCCCCATAACCTGCCTCACCCCCCACCACCATTTTCCCAGAACCCCCCAAAGCATCCTCATAACCTGCCTCACCCTTTGACCCAATTCTCCCAGAACCTCCCAAGCCATCCCCATAACCTGCCTCATCCCCCATCCCCATTCCCCCAGAACCCCCCAAACCATCTTTATAACCTACTTCACCACCTGACCCAATTCTCCCAGGACCTCCTAAGCCATCCCTATAACCTGGCCCACCCCCTGACCCCATTTTCCTGGAACCTCCCAAGCCATCCCCATAACCTGCCTCACCCCCATCCCCATTCTCCCAGAACCCCCTAAACCATTCTTATAACCTGCCTTATCCCCTGACTCAATTCTCTGAGGACCTCCTAAGCCATCCCTATAAACTGTCCCATGCCGTGACTCCGTTTTCCCAGAACCTCCCAAGCCATCCCCATAACCTGCCTCACCCTCTGATCCCATTCTCCCAGAATGCCCCAGGCCATCCACATAACCTGCCTCACCCCCCACCCCCATCCTCCCAGAACCTCCTAAACCATCCTTATAACCTACTTCACCACCTGACCCAATTCTCCTAGGACCTCCTAAGCCATCCCTATAACCTGCCTCGCTCCCTGACCCCATTTTCCTGGAACCTCCCAAGCCATCCCTATAACCTGCCTCACCCCCTATCCCCATTCTCCCAGAACCCCCCAAACCATCCTTATAACCTGTCTCATCCCCTGACCCAATTCTCCCAGGACCTCCCAAGCCATCCCTATAAACTGTCCCATGCCCTGACCCCATTTTCCCAGAACCTCCCAAGACATCCCCATAACCTGAGTCACCCTTTGACCCAATTCTATCAGAATCCCCCCAGTCATTCCCATAACCTGTCTCACCCCCCATCCCCATTCTCCCAGAACCCCCCAAACCATCCTTATAACCTACCTCACCCCCTGACCCCATTTTCCCAGAACCTCCCCAGTCATCCCCATAACTTGCCTCACCCCCCACCCCTATCCTCCCAGAACACCCCAAACCATCTTTATAACCTACTTCACCACCTGACCTAATTCTCCCAGAACCTCCTAAGCCATCCCTATAACCCACCCCATGCCCTGACCCCATTCTCCCAGAACCCCCCAAACCATCTCCATAACCTGCCTCACCCCCTGACTCAGTTCTCCCAGAACCCCCTAAATCATCCCTATGATCTGCCTTACCCAATGAACCCATTCCCTCAGGAGTTCCCAAATCTTTCCTATAGTCTGCCTCATCTACTGACCCCATTTCCCCAGAAACCCCAATACTATCCTTATAACCTGCCTCACCCCCTGGCCCCATCCCCCCAGACCCAAGACCCTTTGACCTTCCTCTATAAGCTGTTCTCTTTCCAATTTGCTGAGACCCTCGAATTCCTGATCCACCCGCAAGACCAGGCACGCCACCAGACCCATAAGTCTCTTGGCTCTCAGAACTGGCCTTAGCATGAGGAGCCAGTGCCTCAGGGAACCTGGTATCATCCCAATGACCAGCTCTAGCTCCAGAGGCCCTAACACCAAGGTCCCTGGTCCCAACCCCATCATTCACTTTGCCTCCTGCCTTCAGATACCTTGGCTCCATGGCTCCTGCCTCCCCAGAGCCATCTTCATGGCCTCCTTCTCCAAAGGCCCCCAGAGCCCCTGAGGCTCTGAAGTCCCCATGGTCTCCAGTCTGACCCCAAGGACTTATTCTTCCAGAGACCCCTGGTTCTGCTTCTACATGTCCCTCCTCATCAGGCTCCATGGTTGCAGAGGCCCCAAGGCCACCTCTACCCACAGACCCCACTGTCCCAGGACTTCCTAGGCCACCACTGGAATGATGCCTTCCCCCAGGGCCAGTATCCCCCTGGCCTTTGGATGCATCCCTGGCATCTGGAGGCATCCTGGCTTCACCCATGGGCCCTCTATCAGGGCCATCTGAGCCACTCTTGAGATTAGCAAGTCTCCCAGACCCCCTTATTGCAGGACCATAACTATCATTGTTTCCAGACCATATTCCCCCAGGCACCCCTGAGCCATGCCTATAACCACCCCCTTCCTCAGACTCTGTTCCCCCAGGTGCCCCAGAGGCAACTTCACAACCAGTGCCATAACCAGATCCCATTTCTCCTGACACTGTTGAGCCATCACTACAGCCAGACCCATTTTCAGGATCTATTCCTCTAGCATACCCTACGCCATCGCCGTACCTAGATTCCATTCTCCCTGGACCTCCTAAGCCATCCTCGTAGCCTGTCTCACTTCTGAGTCCTTTTCTTCTGGAGTTCCATGACCCATTCCAGAAATCTGGTTCAGAACCCATTGCCCCTGGACCTCTTAATCCATCAGTGTCTCCTAGTGTCCCCTCAGAACCCTGAGCACCCAGGCTTAGAGACCCAATTAGCCTGTGGCTTCTGGTATCCACTCCCTGACCAGACCCCATTAGTCCAGCCCCCTGGGTACCACCCACACCACCTTCCCCTTCACCAGACCCCAATATTCCAGGCCTGTGGTAGGCCCTGGTTTTGCTGAGGCTGGACCCTGTGTCATCCCAAGGACCTGTGCTCCCAGAATCTATTCTGCCAGCAACCTCTGCTCCCCACTGACCTACTGGCCAGCCTTGGGAATACTGGAAGCTTCTGGAGCCATCCCCTGCCTCACCCAAGTCTCCTGCTGTCTCCTGGCCCTCCCTTCCCCTGGGCCCCTGTAGGCTCCTCTCCCAGCCCCTGGGACCTCCTGGGCCTGCAGGGCTGGTTTTGTAGTGCTTTCCCCCACCCACAGACTTCCCTGGGCCTCGATCAGCTGTCTGTAGTGACCCTTCAGCTTTGGCCTCAGGCCCCCCTTGTCCCAGGAGGAATTCTCTGCTACCAGGTAGTGATGGTTCTTGGGAGTTCTTTCCTATAGATATCTGCCCTTGAGACTCCTCTGGCCCCCAGCAGCCCCCTGCTTCCTCATCGTCAACATCTCTGCCTCCCTGAGAGCCCCAGGACTCAGGGCCTATGCCTGTCTTGGAGCTAGAAGCTCTTTCTCCAGGATACTCCTGGGCCCCAAGACTACCTGCCCCACTGCTGTCTCCAGCTTCCCCCACACTGGTCCCCCTGCTCCACACTGTCCCTGTGGCTCCTCTCTGTCTTTCCCTGCTCAGATCACCCCCTCCCTCCACCTCACCCAGGCTTTCCCCCTGCAAAATCTTCTCCATCACTCCCCCTTCTGACCAAGAGCCCTCAGGACTAGACTGGGATCCCCTCAGGGCTGTTTTTCCTCTCCCAGGTCCCAAATGAGCACTGAAGTGTTTTTTCTGGCTATACCTGTCCAGGGGACTCCCATGGTCCTCTCTGTACTCCTCTCCTGCCCCGCTGCCCCCCAGTCCTCCCACTTGAGGGTACCTGGACTCAACCTCCCAAATTCCTGCGGTCCTACCGCATCTGTCCCCATCACTGTCTCTGCCATGATCTTGCTGTTGACCTTCCATGAGACCTAAACCTGATTCTAGGCCCTCTCCCTGTACATAGGGGCTCCCTGGAAGGCTTCTGCCCCAGCCTCCCTCTCTGTGGAGCTGATTTTCCCCAAAGGGAGTGACTGTGCTTCCCTCTACTTCCAGAAAGCCCTTTCCTGCCTGCCCAAGGCCCCAGGCTGAGCCAGCTGCCCCATCACTCCCTATCAGGGAGTAGCCATGCCCACCAGGGTCGCCTGTCTCTAGGTCAGCTGTGAACTGTAGCCCAGAAGCAGGCCTGGCCCCATTAAGGGAGCCCTCCAGCAGACCCTGCTCTCTGGGTTCCCCTCCCTTGCCGCTGATGCTCCTGGAATCTTCTGCTTCTGAGGTCTGGGCTCCTTGGGCTTGCAGCTGATGGCCAGCACTTGCAGTCAGAAGGTTTCTATCCTTCCCTGCTTTGATAAGAGGTCAATGCCCCCACAGACAAAAGAAAAGACCTGTTAAATCAGGTCAAGTCACCCATCTAACCCTAACTGCTTTGCCTGACCCTCAGTTTCCCCAATAGAGAAAAAGCTGACTCTCTCAGAAGGAAGCCAGGGTGTGCCAGCTCATTGATAGATGAATCCTATCACCACCTCCCCCAGCCCTGTACCCACAGACACCCTGCCCTGCTATGTGGTTCATGAAGACTTTTGGAGAAAATACATAACCTAAAACTCATCTGCTTATCAAACTGCCATGAACAGTTGCATGATTTTTAAAAGCTCTATTTGCTCACCATCTGCCTTACAAATTTCCTGGGATCACCCTGAACCCAAATCCGTGGGGAATTTAAGGGTGTTCTTTGGCCTGACCCAGGTTCTTATCCATATTGAATCTGAGCCACTCCCTGGCCAGGACCCTCAGGCCATCTTGGATCTGTGCCCCCAGAGGCATTCCAGAGGCCCATGGAGCACACACAGCTGAGGACGACCAGGCTGGCTAGGAGGGCCAGCATTGCGGTGGGTCAGGAATAGATCTCAGGAACCTTCCTCATTCCCGGAGAGTGAAGGAATCATCAAGAGTAAATGACTGACCAAAGGAAGCCCCTGGCCCTGGCCTTTTTCATGCCCTTCTTAGCCCCGAGTCTTGCCTTGGTAGAGGCAGGGAATGACAGAGGTAAGAACCACTCACCTTCAACCACCAGCCAGGCAGTAGAACTGTGGAACCCAGTGCCCAGTGAGTAGGGGCCCATGTCTGAGAAATGGGCCCCCCTTACCACCAGCCTATGGGTCAGCCCATCAGGGGACACAAACACTTCATATTTGTTGCTGGGCTGGAGTGGCCGGTGCCGGAAATTCCAGGCGGCGTTGGGGCAGGGGCTGGAGAGAATGCACTCGAAGACAGCCTCACCGTGCTCTTCACAGTGCGCCTCAGCCAGCGGGACAACCACTCTGGAGGGGATGGCTGTCAGGGAAGCAGGAATGGGGGCATCAGCTTGGCAGCGTGACACAGCGAAGCCGGGAGCTTGGAAGCCCAGGTTCAGACCAGCTCAGCCACAGACCCCCTGTGTCACCTGGGGCAGGTCACTTCCTTACCCCAGGTGACAGTTCCCAACATAAAATGAGGGCTTATAATGAGGTTTTGAACAGTAAGACTGTTTTCAGGTCTGGAATTCTGTAATCCTAAATCCAGAGATTATGGCTGGGAGTAAGATGGATACGGGAATAAAACCGATATGCTGACCGCCAGAGCTTCATACGTGTTCTCTTATGAATCCTAGGCCCACCTCCCAGATAGGTATTATTATTTCCTTTCTACAAGTAAGGAAACCCAGTCTTATCCAACTAAGATGCAGCCTGGGCAGGATTCACTCCCAGGTCTGGCTGACGTCAAAGGCCCTGCTCCTTCCCCCGTGCCACTCCATTTCTCAGCTTTTCAAAGCCCTATCCAGGCATACCTGGAGACCTCATGCCCTCTTTCTTCCTCAACCTTGATTTAGAATCATGTTCTTTACGTTCTGTCTGCCCAAAGCTTTCTTCTCCAGGCCTCTCCTCCTCCCAGGAGGCCCCCGGAGCTGTCAAGTGCTCCAGCAGGTGCGTGGCGGCGGGGGGGGGGGGGAGACGATGCGTACACAGCTACTCGAGGGGATGGGACAGAGTTTGATGAAAGAGGAAGGGACAGTCCCCAGGTGGGGTGGAGGCACGGGAGGCAGGGAAGGAAGAGGTCTGTACAGGGCACAAGGGTTCTGCACCTGGGTGGGTCTTGTGCTGGGGAGTGTGGGAGGTGAGAGTCTGCAGCAGAAAGCAGTGAGGCTGTGGCTAGAGCCTGTGAAATTAGTCTGGATCTAATCTGGAGATACAATCTCCACTGCAGAAGGTCTGTGAGCAGGGGCATGGCATGGACATTATACGTCTGTGGCTGGAACTCAGGAGAGCCCAGCTCAGCATAAAGAAAACACAGACCTTGGACCAAGACTTTTGGAAAGCAGAGATCATTTCAATTTAAGCACCTGGGTGTGCATTCCTCTCCCCCACAGTCTTTGCAAGGCGGGGGAGGCAGATCACATTTATCTTCCCCACCCCCTACCCCTGCCATGGCACATGGGCCCCCCCCTCCTAACAGATGTCCTCCACTCCAGCTTCTGCAGGGGAAGACCACCCACCACTAGCATCCAGTTCTGTGGAGAAGACTTCGGCATCCTCCACCTTGATCTGGTAAATGCCGGCATCCTCAGGCTGCAGGTCCCGGATCTGGAATTGGTAGCGCTTCCCCAGCCGCCGCAGACAGCGCTTAGTCTGGTTATCAAAGCTGTAGGGGATCATCTCACCATCCTGAGGCCGAGAAAGGAAGAGGGAGGTTCAGGGCTTTGGTGGGGCCCCAGCACCTCCTGCCTCAACCCCACTCTGGCAGTTTTCTGCCACTGGCGCAGAAACAACATTGCTGGAACCACAGAGGAGATGAGGAGGGGGGCAGGGGCAGGGGTGGCGAGCAGGGCTCAGAGGCCTTGAGAACAGGGAGTGTGAGGTGAAGGAATACTGCCCTAGGAGGGTCCCTGACTCTGACTATGGAGTAAATAATCTGCAAGTGTCACACAAGAGACACCTGAGAGTGGAACACCTCTGCTCAGATTGAGTAACCACCCAAGCAGCCCCAGGGGTTAACCGGGGGGCAGGGAGGCAACACCGAGGGCCCTAGGGGCCCCAGCACATTCATTCTCGGAGGGCCACAAGAGAGTACTATCAGGTATCTTTAGGGGTCCTAGAAAACCCAGTAATCCACACACATGCCCCCTTTAGCTAAAGCCTAGATAGATTTGCCACTTGACAAATATTAACAACAGCTCGTCTTCAGTTGCCTACTGTGTGCCAGGCATTGGGTTAGGTACTTGGGGCACATCAGTGAATAAAACAAAGATTCCTGCCCCCCAGGGAGCTAAAATTCTAGGAGGGACACAGACAAATAACACATATTGTAAGCAGATAATATAATGTATATTAGAAAGAGATAGAATTAGGGAAAAAAAGAAAAGAGAGAGGAAGATACGGATTCAGGTATGCAGGACAGGGTTGGGGGGACACAGTGCCCAGAGGGTGGTCAGGGGACGTCTGGCTGCGGGTGAGGGAATTAGCCGTGTGGATACTGGGGAAGACCACGACAGGCAGCAGGACCAGCTAGAGCAAAGAAACAGATGCAGGGGGGCGGGGGTGCACTTTCTCAGAATCCTCTTTTTACCCTTGGTGTCCTGGCTAGAGAACTCGGTTGCTCAGTGAGAGGTAAGAAGAGTCTATGAAATGTCTACACCAAAGTTTGACCTCCCTCCAATCCGGAACTTCAGGGGATGCAGGACTCACCATCTGTGTACTTGAGTTGCTCCCAGAGGGGAATCCACGGGACTCATAGTTCCTCCCCCCCAGGACCTGCAGCATCCCTGCCAGATGCCTCCCTCCTCAATGACTCCTCCAGCCTCACCTTATACAGGTGAATCTTGCTCCCGGAATACTTGAGATCCAGCTCCAGATCAAATGTCGCGACCCCCTCCTTGCTGACCCTGATGTGTCTCAAGTTGGAGATGGCGTTAACGTACTAGGGAAGACAAACGCACCAGGGGATCGCTCTGAGCTCTCTCTTTGGGGCACTCCAAACCCTCGGACCCCAGTCCCCCCGCCCCCCCCCTGCCACCGGGGCATGCATTTGCCCATTTTACAGGTGGGAAGAAATTTTCCAAGATGAGACATCAGGTCAGGAAGCAAAGTGAGAAAGGACCCCAGGTGTCCATCCAGGTGCTCTGAGAACATGGTAGGACATTTCTGTTCATCTGCTATTCCAGCCAATAAAAATTAGTTGAGCACCAACTGTGGGCAAAGCCCTGTGTTAAAGTCAATGAGAAGGCTTGGAGGACAGAAAACTGAGTCCCAGGATGTTTGATGAGCCACCTTCAAGGTGATAAAATACTATTTTCAGGATGGTGAAAACTAGTTTTGCATTTCCAGAAGACAAGTTATACCAGTGCTATAGTTATGTTAGACCCAGGAAAGAACTGCCTGTACAGTTTATAAGACACTGGGATAAGCAGGCAACTGTGAAATCCCCTCCACAGGAAGCCTTTAGAAATAAGACAGGTATCCAAGATCTGGGGAGGATGACAGCGGACAGGAAGCCCTTGCCAGGCGTCAGGCACTAGGCTAAGTGCTTTAAGTACATTCTCTAGTTCATCCTCTCCCTAACCCTAAGAAGCAGGTACAACTATAACACCCATTTTACAGAAAAGGAAACCAAGACACGGAGGCCCTAACTTTCCCAATGCCCCAGATTTTAGTATCTGAACCAGATTTCAAAGCCAAAACGTTGCCTGGAGGCCCCGGTCCTTGGCCACACACTGCCCTGAGAGCTGGGGGAGGGCCGGCCCCGCGCCAGGCCCAGCTCCAGGTGGGGGCGCCCGCGAGGCACCGGGCCGTGGGCCCCGGCGAGCGTACCGGCGCCATCTTGTCCTCGCGCTCCTTCCGCAGCTCCTTCAGCTTGCGCAGCATGCCCCGGTAGTCCACGATGCCGTACTTCAGGCAGATCCGCTCGTAGTCCTTGCGGTCGGCCGTCATCAGAAGCTGCCACACCTGCTCCAGGTCCACCTTTTTCTTGGTGGGAGGCGGGGCCCTGGGGAGCAGGGGGGGGGCAGGTCAGAGGCCAGGGGAGCCCCAGAAGCTGCTCCCCTGGGCTTGGCACCCTGAGAGGCTGCGGGGAGCCGCCCTCTCTGCACTAGAAGAAAGGGATAGGGAGGCTGGGCTCTGGGCCTGAGCACTGTCGGGACACAATGGACGCAGAGATGGGCAAGGGCTCCTCCCCAGCCCCCCGCAGTCCGAACTTTCAGGGCAGAAACTCTGCTCCTAACACCTTGTATTGTGGATCGCTGAGAAAGATGGCCGGGGGCAGGGGTGTGTGTGGGGGGGGTGTGGGGTGTGCAGATTATTCTGTTACTTTTTCTTTTTTTTTAAGATTTTATTTATTTATTTGTCAGAGAGAGAGAGCACACAAGCAGGGGGAGGGGCAGGCAGAGGGAGAGGGAGAAGCAGGCTCCCCACTGAGCAAGGAGCCTAATGCAGGACTCGATCCCTGGACCCTGGGATCATGACCTGAGCCAAAGGCTTCCACTTAACTGACTGAGCCACCCAGGCATGCCTATTCTGTTACTTTAACACTTAAAAAAAAATCATTGTTCTAGTAGAGCACCCCATTTTACAAACGAGTAAGTCAGGACCGGGAGAGGAGAGATGATTCATTCAGGGACACAGAGCTTAAAGGCAACAGAACTAGGGGGCCAGCGCTCTTCCCTTCTCCTTTTGGCTACCTGCAGTCTATCTTCCTAGCCAGTGGACGGGAGAACTGAGCCTGCCTTGCTCATGGATGTAGCTGGGGAGACTTCAGCCCTGCCCCTGGATAGGCCCACACCCACCTCTTTTTCAGAAGATTTCGGTAGTCCATCAGTTCCTTCCTGAGGTCTAGAAAAGGAGCAGGAATGAGGCCCCAAGCCCAGGGTGGGATTCCAAGGGGCTAATGCAGGGCTTTTCTGTGGCAATGGGAGTGGGGTGGGTGGGTGTGTGGGGTTCAATCTGAGGACCTGTGGTCCATGGCTGATAACCGAGCTTTTGAAAGTTGCCCTCCTGTGGACTGGTGATGATCTGTAAGGTGTTGGTAGGGGCTTGGCCAAGTCAGGAGCACCAGGCAAGGAGTAGCCCATTCCCCACAACCCAAGAAGATTTCTGACAACCCTTACACCTACCCTCCTGGGGTTCCTTGTGCCTCTTCCGATTCTTCCGAAAGCCAACTGGACCATCAGGAGTAGAGGAAGAGATTTATGTGGACAGATAGGGAGAGAAGTGAGACACATTGATGGTCTTCCTGAGAACCAACTGAGTGCCCCAGCCGTGTCCTCCCCACTGTCCAAAAGGGCAAGACAACAGCTCAGCAAGACGGATGAGCGGAGGGCCCGTCATAAGCTTTGATACCCAGAGCCTTAGCGTGACTGATGTGGAGCTGACCTGATTATCACCACACGTGGGGGAGGCCCGCTGACGTGTCTGCAGGGGCAGGGGGGCAGCAGAAGTGAGTGCAGAGACTGTGGCTGGCTGCAGGGGCAGCGGCTCTCCCATGCCCCCCAGGAGCTGCCATTTCAGGGTATGGGCCAGATGTTGCCCAGGAAGGCCAACACTGCTGTTTGGCTGAGCCTGCAGCCGTGCCCAGTCCTCATCGCCTATTCCCACTAGTAGGAAGGAGGCTGGAAAAGCTAAATCCTTGCCTTCCCAGCTTCCCTTTCCACCAGGAGTGGCCATGGGACACGGTTCTGGTCAATGAGATGTAAACAAGTCTCCAAGGAGTTTCTGAGAAAGTTTTGCTTTCTTGATAAAAGGGCCAGCTGTACCTGGGGCCACCTCTTTCCCCTTCTTCCCACCTTGAATGTAGATGCAGTTGGGATCTGCAGCAGCCGTCTTATGACCACGAGGCTATAAGCCAAGCCAACGTCTTTGGGTGGCGGCTCAGTGGGACAGGAAGCATCTGGTTGTCCCGTGACAGCGCTGAGCTGTGGTTTGAGCCCTGGGTTCCAACCTCAGGACTTCTTATCATGTGACATAATCAAGTGTCTTTATTTCTTGGGCTATTTGTAGTAGGGTTTTCTGTTACTTGTAGGCAAAAGCATAACCAATTGAAAGACTAGATCTGCTTTCTCAAGAGACATGACCCTTCCCGTTATTATATGTCAAAAATTAATTTAAAATTTGGAAACACTGGGCAAATCAAAAACAAACAACCCACCTGCATGTCTGAGATAGGATTTGGCCTTCATATTACCTGTTTGCCACCTCTGACGTAGGCCTGTACAAAGTATCCTCTGTACAGTGGAGAAACTGGGGCCACGAAACTGGAGCCCCCCTCAAGAAAACGAAGCCCACTGAAGGAGTTAGCAGAAGGTTCAGGACCAGAAACTGACCTCTAGGTCCTGCTCTCATGCTCCAGGGTTAAGAGAATATCATTCAGAGCATCTGCAGTGGGGCATCTGCTGAGTGTGTGCCTTTTAGACCACATGCAGAGTTGGTATGTAAGCGCGTGAAGCCAAGGGCCCTGGCACCAGATGGGACAGCGAACTTGCTGTCCCTCTCTCCTTTTACGCCACCAGCTGCCCAGCCCCTGTGGCCTCTGAGGGCTCTCTGAGGAGAAAGCCAGGGCCAGCACCCCAAGCACCAATGAGACAGGATGAGGGGAGGGGGTCGAGCCCACCTTCGATGACCAGGAGCCTCGTGGAGCATGTGACCTCTCCATAGACGTTCACTGCGGTGCAGCGGTACAGGTCCGAGTCCTCACCCGTCAGCTTGTTGATCTGCAGAGAGGCCAAGGCCGGGGGAACATGGCTAGCACCCCCTCCCCGCTCCCTCCACTTACTAGACATGGCTAAAGGTATATCAAGATGAATAAGACACAGCCCTTTCCTTAGAGAGCTCACAGTCTTCATCAAGGAAGTCAGACCCCAAAACAAAAAGCGGGATCATGACAGAGAGTGGATGTACCATTGGCAGCTTGGGGGAGGGCCTCTTTGCCAGCAGAGGCAATATGGTGTAGCAGAAAGGCTGGCTTTTTTGGGGGCAGATGGATCTGGGCCGCGTATCGTCTCCATCACGTATTATGGGCTATGGGACCTTGGGTAAATTACCTAACCTCTCTGAACCTTAGTTTCTTATACGGTGAGAATAAAAATGCCTCAAAAAGTAGTGAATGGTCAGGAGTAAATGATATCATCTATGTCAAATGTTTAGCCCAAGGCCCCAGCACATAGTAGGTGTTCTGCGACTCGTAGCTCTAATTATTACTAATATTGGCAGCAGGGACAGAGTGCTCACTAGAGGCCAGGCACTGGTGAGATACTTCACATAAACTTTTCATATTCATAACAACACCATAAAGTAAGTACTGTTATTATCCTCATGTCACAGATGAGGAAACGGAAGTACAGAGAAGTAAGGAACTTTCCAAGGCCAAGGTGGTGGGCCTGGGATTGGAAACCAGGCCGTCCGGACTCCACAGCTTGAGTTCCTAAGCTCCAGCCTCCGCCACCTGCCAGGTTATCAGCAGAGGTACCTGAGAGCCTGGCATGTCCCCACCTGGCTCAAGCCACCTGGAGCCACAGGATGGAGCCGAGCGGGCTCAACCCCAATTGGGAACATCTCCTACTCCTCTGGGGTTTGGAGGCTGCCAAGGAGCCCTTCAAGGGGACAGGGAGATGAGTAGACGTGGGTCAGGGGGAGAGCTGCAGGTCTTACCTGTAGCACATGCTCATTGCTGCCGGAGGAGGAGGAGATCTGGTACTTGCTGGAGTTCCTGAGGTTACCTTTGGTGCTCTGCCAACAAACCTCAGGTTTGGGCTCCCCACAGACCAGGGCCCGAAAGATGGCATTTTTCCCTGTGGCAGGAAAAGGCGGTCAAAAGATTGGCATCTTGGGGGAGGGCTAAGAGTATACTTTATTGGGACTTTAATTTGTTGTTTTCACTGCTCTAGGTATTTCCACTGCCCATTCAAGAAGAGTGTCAGGCCTTGGTGCCCTGGCTCAAGGAGTCTTATGATGCCAGGCAGAGAGCAGCAGTTTCCAGGCACCCAGAAGACAGACCCCCCCCCCCCCCCCAGCTTCTGTATCACAGAGCGTAGGCTCCATGGTGGAAGGAGAGGCAAGCAGGGCTTGGGCTGGAAGGGAGCGGCGTTTCTTTGCATGTAGGGGAGGGAGGAGTCTGAAGGACTCTCCCAAGACTGGGAAGGGGATGAGTCTTTTGGGGGGTTCCATGTCCACTTTCAAAGTGGGATGATCCCGAGACACAGGGTTCCAGACTCAGAAAAGAGCCCAAGCTCCATGTGTGGCATGGCAGGCTGGGAGCTGCCCACCCTCCAGAGACCCCCTGGGCTCCTGCCGGGGACATCCCGCTAGAGAGTAGTACAGAGTGAAGGCCCAAGGGCCCTCCGCAGTGGTGACAGACGATTGCTCATGACCTCTGTATTTTGAGTGAGGACTTAGAGTCAGATTTAGAAAAATAAAGTGCCATTCTTTTTCTTATACTGAAATGATGTAAATTGCAAGGTATTGTAGGAACCTGTGCTGGGAAAAAGAACACCAGTTCTCACCCCTTCCCCCAAAAGTCTTTGCTCCCATCACTTTCCTGGGCACTTTTCTCATGTGGCCCAAATGAACCTCATTTTAACAGTGTCTACAGCGGCTGCTCAGAGGTCGGGAGAGGGGAGGGGAGCTCGGCAACACCACCAACTCTCCTGCTCCCCAGTGAGCATCCCCCACCTTTATTCCCAAATATTTCTTGTTTCAGCATACCCTAGTGTGTCTTCACTCCCTTTGCCCATTCTGCCCCTCAGGTCCCTGGCCCTTCTGGGGGCCCAGGCAGGCAAGCACCCCACAAGCAGAGGGAGACATGGTGTGGCCTGGTGCTGGATGTGGGGGCTGGGAGGCCGGCTAGGAAGGATGGGGCTAGCCCCCTCCACCGTGCAGACTCTCAGCAGCTCCCCTCCCGGTTCTCACCTTCCTGCAGCGCCAAGGCGACGGGCTTCTGCTGGAAGTCTGGTGTGCTGCCGCCTTCGGGGATCTCCTCCACCAGCTGCCGGATGCTCACCCCATGAATGGCGGACTTCTTTGGGGGCTTCTCTGGAGAAGGTTGGGAGAAACGGAGATGAACCCTCCCTACTCTTCCTCGTGGGTGGCCCTTTAACACAACGGAGCCCTGATGCATGCACCCACGGAACGTGAGCCCCTCCTCACTATGCCACCATTGGGCGAGATTGTCTCTTGGAGCTCCTGCCTTGAGCAGGGCTTTTGAATTTTCTAGTGGAATTGGGCAGTGGTCCTCCAGCAGTGTGAATGGAGCCCCTGGGAAGTGGGCAGGGGGCACCCAGGGAAGACCCTGGGAGCGTCACTGGGGTAGTTGGAGAAGGGAGAATGGGAAGGGGCTCCGCATGGGGGGCTGTGCATCCTTTATTCAGGAAAACAAGTTAAAACCCAAAGCCTAAACTGGAAAAAACAAAGAACCAGGCGAGTTCCCGAAGATCTCTGAGCCCTATCCTTCCCTCATTTCCACCCCATGAGGAACGCCAGTGAGGGACTAGGACGGGGGAGGGGAGATCAGCTCTTCTCTCACCTGCCATAGTTTGGGTGCCTCTTTGGTTACTGAGGGTGGCAACTGATCTCCTGAGAACAGAAGACAGAATTGCTTATGAGAGGTGCAGGCTGGTCTTACCCCATCTCCCCCACACCATCTGTGCTTCGGCTGGTCTCTGGCCTGGGAGCCGGGTAGAGTTGCTGCCCCCTAGTCTGACCCCACCTAATGTTATTGATCAGTGTCCTGCAAGTCCCTGCTCCAGCAAAACCAACTTCCCCGAGACAGGGAGAGGGTAGGTTGCTGCTCGGTTTTACCTTTCCCAGGTAATGGAGCCCATGGGGCTGAGCCGGCAACCTATGCTGGTGGCCTGGCCTTTCGGGTGGGGCCCCAGGCCTAATGGCCACTCAGAGGGTGAGACACAGCCTCCCCAAATCTCAGGAAATCAAATGCCTGGCATCCAGGATTCCTTTAACGATTTTGCAGCCTGCCCCCTCTTGACTGTGGAATGTCAGTTTTCCAGGGATATTCTCTGGGACTCTTGGCTCCAACCCCAACTCTGAGATTTTCTAGCAGGGTCCAGCGGCCTTCTACCTCCCTCCCTCAACTAATCTGGAATCCTTCTGATCACCGGGTCTGTGGGGGAGAATCCCTTACTTGGCTGTTCTTTAGCTCTTCTTGACACAGGCTGACAGGATCCTCATAAATCCATCTGCCCCCTTCCAAAGCCAGTGAATTATAGCATCAGGTGAAAGAAATGCCCTCCAGCTTCTCCCAACCATCATCACCATTGACTCCCCCTGATTTCCTCACAATTGCATCCTTCCATCATGGCTGCTGGGGAGTGCCACCCCGGGGAGAGAGGGGGCTTGGCTCTGGGCTGACATGAGAGCCTTGGTGAGAGCCATGAATTGGAGGGGGATGGGGGGGGATGTCTTGAAAGGGTTCTCCAGCAGTCCCACCTCCTGTGCGGTTGGCCCGTGGCCAACAGGTTCCATTTTGGAAGATGCCGTTCCCTGCCCAAAGAGCCTTGTGTTCAGGATAGAATCACACATGACAGAGCAAATTCCTCCCCCCAACTGACACTTCCATTTCACAGCTGCCCACCCACTGGCACGTCTGGCCTCGAGGTGTCCCATCTACAGCACAGCGGCTGCCCCCCAGGGCGCTGGAATGCCATGGCGCGCCAGGGGCGTTCTGGAGCGGTCACGGGGCCACAGGCGCAGCGCAGCAGGGAGTCAGGAGGGAGGGCGAGGATGGAGAGCGGCCGCCAGGGGAGGAGAACGCAGCTGACTGCGAGGGGTGGGAGCTGCCTGGGTCCGCGTCCCACCCGTTCCCCAGTACATCTCCTGGCAGCTGCCCTGGAGTAACTTGAATTTAACACGGACACCTTAGTTGTCCTCTTCATCTTCCTCATCACCCCCATCAGCCTCCCCACCAGCTCTCAGTCACTTCCTCTGCCGTTTGCCACACATGAAGCGTAATGTCCGTCCGTCCTCCTGCCTACACGTCCCAGCTGAGAAGGGCAAGAGAAGCATACCCCTCCGGGAACTTAAGGGTCGGATGTTAAGCCATCTTGCCCTCCAGACCTCCATTCTCTTCAGGAAGCCAGATTCAGGACAGGGTTAGTGGAGAAGGGGCAAAAGGTCTGCTTGGGTGGAGACTAGATGGATATGGTCTCAATCGGGGGGACAGGGAAGGAAATGAATTCTCTACCCATGGTTCATTCCCCGCTTTGGAGAAGAAATCCTAATTTTTCTTAGCACCAGACAGCAGCCGTGTCCTCAGTTCAGCCTATCCCACCAACACTCTCAGCCTTGGCCCCCCCGGGGCAGTGTCTCCTGGTCCCTCCAGGACCCACAGCCCCCCGGCACCTCCTGCCCCCACCTGCCGTCATCTTGCGCCTCTGGGTAGCTGCTGCCCCCACCTTCCAAACTGGTAGGCTTGAGGCAGGAAGAGCCAAATGGAGTTTGTCTCAACTGCTTTGACCATGTTATTAATCCAGATGTAACAAGTCCTAGACCCGAGGTCCTCATTCTAGACAGCTAGTCAGATTTTTAACCTGGCCATCATTTCACACTCTAAGCCAAACAGTGCCTAGAAAATCAGAGCCAGGACAGGACCCCCCTGGACAGGACTCACTGAAATTCTCTCTTCCAAATATCCTGGAGTCATTTAGAGGGGACTGTACGTGCACCCCACTGTTTACAGCTGAATGTTCCCCAGGCTGATCTTGTGCCCACTGCTGCCCCTTCCTGAGTAGAAAAAGTTCGAGAGCATTCCAGCATCTCCATTTCTGCCCTGGGTGGGCAGCCAGGTGCGCAGTGCCCACTTACCTGGGTGCACTCTGACCTCCAGCCTCCTGTCTGCTCCCTCCTCCCTGTTCCCAGCTGCTTCGCACTGCCAGAGCCTCTGAATGGAGTGCTGGTGGACAGGCAGTGCTGGGAGCAGATATAGGTCACTGCAGACTCCCCAGGCTCCCTCTGCCCCTCCCACTCACCCCGCCTCCCTCCTCCTGCTCTAGGCCAGGCTTGGCAGGGCAGGGCCCCCGCCCCAGGGTTAATGCCCTACTCTCTGAGGAGGTCAGAGAGGGAAGGGTCCCGTGACATTAGCTCATCCAACTCTTCAGTTTGCAAAGCTGTAAGCTCTTAACTAAATTGGCTTGGTTAGGTTTGTTCTATGTGGCCTCATGTAGATAACCCCTTTTAGCAGCGGGGGGTTACATCGTCCAAAGCCCTAATTTTGCTCCTAAGCTGATCCCTTGAGACCCTTGACACCATAAGTCACACAAATACATAAAGCCAGTGCCCTCTTGGGAATCACAACCCAAAGTGGCACCAAACAGGCAACAAGCTTCAGGAACTAGACAAAAGGGCATGATCCCAAAGGCTCTGCTGTGGGGGTGCACTCCCCTGAGAGTGTGGGGCAGGGGGAGACCCTGGAGGTCATGCAGCCAGGAGGTCTTCCGGGAGAAGGGGAGCTTTCGCAGGATAGAAGGGGGGGTCCAGCCAGCTGGGCTAGGGGCTGAAAGTGGCAGGCAGATGGTTGGGGTTTTGAGGATGTGTGGATGGAGGATGGGAGTTGGGGATAGGATGGCTGTTAACAGATTTTCTTAAGGAGCGTGGAGGAGAAGCAAGACCGGGGAGACAAGATGAGAAGGCCACCTGGTCTGCTTTGAAAGAGCAACCTTCAAAGGGAGGCCACTGGATAGTTACACGTCCTATCACACTGCCAGTTCTGTAGGAGCTACCTCTGCGTGTGATCTGAGAAGGGGGTGCTTGACCTCTTCCACTCCAGTGTGTGTGTGTGTGTGTGTGTAAGTGTGTGTGTGTACGTGCCCATACATGTATTTGTGTGTCTCGTGTGTTTCTAACTCTAGGGGTCAGAGGCTGGTGTTTCGTTTATTCAATAAGTATGTGTTGAACACCTACCCTGTGTCAGGTCCTGGGTCTGGCACTGTGTTAGGCACTGGGAATACAGAGGTAAGCAGATGACAGGGCCTTCCCCTCGTGGAGCTTACGGTCTAATGGGTCAGACGCATGAGAAATAGCCGGTTACAAACTGCAGCATGCTCTTGGAGAACTAGAGCCTCCAGAGGGCTGGTAGAGCTGGAGCTCAGAGACCTAGGGCAAGGGTGACATGGGCTGAGCTTGGACAGGTAAGCTTGAGAAGCCATTTAAGAATTTTGATCTCTGTCCTAAGGGCTGTTGAAGTTTATTTAATCTGGAAGAGCGACGGGATCCAGTTTGCATTTTTAGAAACTCATTCTGGTGCAGGGCAGAAAAGGAATGGAGGAGAGTGGAAGTGAGAGGCAGGAGTCCAGCTCCCAGGAGGCTGGTCCAATAAACCCAAGGTGTTCTTTTCTGATAGTGGGGTCCTGGGCTCCAGGGGACCTTCCAAGCCACATGTTCCATTGTCCCAGGAGGAGAAGACGGAGGCTGGGAACATGACCCAATACAGAACCCTTCAGCATTTTACGTGCCTCCATTGGCCCCCAAGTAGCTGGTAGGTTCTTTCCTGAGGCCTGGGGATGGCTAGAAGACCACAGTAGGCATGCCTCTCTGCTCTGCACTATCCCATACTTGAATCCCTCTCTTTGCAGTAAGATGGAAATTTCAGGACTCCAAGCAACTAAAACTCCACCCATCCTCTATCCTCTGTTTTTTATGCTTTATCAAATGGAATACCCAATAATATTTAGCTATGCCCGGCATGTTTAGCCATCTGCCTGAAGGTGAGAATCCTCAGTGGTATGAAAGATCCTGGGCCAGACTCTGGTGTTGCTCCTTGTGATTGGCAGTACATAACAAAGGGGGTGACATGCCAAGCCCCTTTAAGGAATTTTCTGGCTACCTACCACTCAGGCCAATGACAGCATGTTCTGACCTATTCCCCAGTGATCTTTCCCAGTGCCCTGATTTTATCCAGTGGTAAAATTTTCACACCACCTCTCTCTATAATGTAACATTATTATACCCCCTGATAGACTTTTTCTTTGGGAGATAAAGGAACAAGTTTTGGCCTTCATTGTTAGGAGAACATCCATGTCGGAAGAGCTCTGGGCAGGATTTGTGCATATTCATTCTTTCACAGTGTCTTATGGGAAGGGCTCAATGACTTTGGGTAGTGAAATGATCACAATTTTTTATTACTCCCTTGTCCTTACAAGAGGGAAATGCATTATTATATGGCAGGTGCCAAGAGGCTCAGGCCCCATACAGGCCTCCCTCTGGAGCCCTCTCACTCCCCATGGCATGGGTTGGGTGGGATGATCTCTGAGATCCTGGCCAACTTGAATCTTTTAGAGTCCTGTGACTTACTGAGTGGGTTTCATGGGCAAGGCCTTGTGGACTTGAAAAGCAGGGTAATTTCATGTGACTCAGGAGAGAATTTGAATTCATTTGCAGGCTGCTACTATCTCTATGTCTTTGTGTGAAAAATGGCTCTGCTCCGGCAGGGCAAGCTGTTAAAGACACTCTCCGTGGGGCCATGTCCTCTCTTGTTCCCGCTGAGGTCCAGGTAGATGGGTTGGGAGGGCATGGTTCTATT